AAAAAAAAAAAAAAAAAGGGCCCATGTAGTCAGGCTGATCTGGGTGTGTCTTGCCTCCACAACCCATAAGCTCTGTGACCTTCAGCAAGTCATGTAAAACCTTTATATGCTAGTTTCCTTTGGGTAAAATGGGGACAATATCTATCTTGCAGAATTAATGTGAAAGCTAAATGAAAATAATGCATGTAAATCACCTAGCACAGTATCTAGCTCACTATAGGAAATATACTAGAGAGAGACATTTATATGTGAATAAAAATATGAGAAAGAAAAATGAGGAAAAGGATCCTTAGAATGGTTTTTACTCATCCATAAGGGGAGGTTGGATTCCTCACTTCCCCCAAATCATTCCCTCCATAATGGTTATATTCTCATCCCTTCAAGGAATGGAAGGTTCTGCATGGTTCAGTTATATTACCATGAACAGAAAACACTGAACAGGAGAGGTTAAAGGTGAAGTTTGGAGCTATATATTTGAAGGTTGTTTGCATTTCACTGCGGGTTTTTTCTGTATTTGTTGTGTCAGTTACAACTGAGCACACTGTTTATGAATATTGCCTGTTAACACATCACTGATGCAAGGAATTAGCTACTACCCCCCAGTTATAAAGTGGTTGGGTTTTTTTTTTTTTAATGTAAATTGCTCTGTACTAATTGTTCATAAAATTCCTTTTAAAGGTTACAGAATTATTAACTGTACTAATGGTATGAGGTTGGTACTCTTCCAGAGACAGAGAGGAGACAAGCTTCTTCTTCCTTCCCCCACTGCCTGAAGTCTTTGTACTCAACATAATTGACCTTGGACATGTTATTATGTGTCCCATGGACATTTTTAGTACAGTCTCCAATAATGATATGTCTTGTTCTTTTTGTTTACCAAAGTAACTGATGTTAAAATCAAACTTTCCCTCAATATGCAAATCAAATGTTGGTGTTCTGCTCATCAACCTGACTTGTTTTTGTTAATTGAAGATATAATTTTTAAAACCTGTGATTATAATGATCTAATTCTAAGTTAGGAGGCACAATCATTTTCATAAAACAAATCTTTGGCTTTTTTTTCCTCAGCATCAAAACAGTGCCTCTTTATTAACTTCGCATTCACACATAATAGGGTGGTTCTTGTCAGTGAGTTCTGATGGAATTGTATTTGTGAAATGTCTCAGTGATATTGAGTTGAGGACCTTACTGGACCCTATGGTTAGAGCCCTTTTTATGTGCAATTTTACAAGCCTTTATCCTAACTGAGATGAAATGTAAGTGTTCTCATTCTACCCTTACTTTAAGCATCTGTGAAACTGTATCAAACATTGGATTTTTGGAAGAGAATTATTGGTAGCAATAAGAGACATTTGAATACTAAAAATAGTATGTAGTATAGTATGCAAAACACTGATCCTTTAATAGTGGTTCTCCAACTTGTTTGCACATTGGAATCGCCTGTGGAGCTTTAAGATTTAATGATGCCAGGTTTCCACACCAAGGACTAAACCAAATTAATTCAAAGATCTGTGGCAAGACCTTTATAGAATCCTGTCTAGATTGAAAAACAAATCTTCATTAATCCTCTTGAGCATGATTTTTCAATCAGAAGGGAGCACACTATCATTCTGCCCACATTTCCTCATTTCATCTAAAAAAGTGTCATGAATAGCTCTTTCAAAGCCTTATTGAAATCCTGATGTACTCTATATGACATTCTCTTGAAAATGGAGTTCATCATTAAAATGTGCTAACTTCTGAGTACATAGCACATATTGGTCATAATAAAACTACCAATCTATTCATGATTAGGAGTGCATTATCTCTATGGCCTGGGAGAACGGAGGGAAGAAATATAAGTTCAGACCTGGCCAGGCCAGTGTGACTCAACGGTTGCGCATCAACCTATGATGCAGGAGATCTCAGTTTTATTCCCGGTCAGGGCACGTGCACAGGTTGCAGGCTCGATCCCCAGTGGGGGGTGTACAGGAGGCAGCTGATCAATGATGCTCATCATTGATGTTTCTCTCTCTCTCTCTCCCCCTCTCCCTTCCTCTCCCAGAAATCAATAAAGATATATTTTAAAAATTTTCAGATCTGTTGTCTACACTAGAAGAATTGTTACTTTCCCCTTCCCCACATTTAAAACACTACACAAATGTTATTCTTATTTTTTATTATAGAACCAGAGAAATCCTGGTTATCTTGTATTTCTGGAAAAGAGAGTAAAAGCAGAAGAAGAGAATCTCTAGCAACTAAAAAACAGCAACTAAGGACCAAAGTGTTTCTAGCTTCCTCCAGCCACTGGAACTTGTGTTATAGATTGGAATGTCTGGGTTTGAAGGCTAGTGCTCATTTGGAATTAAAGTCAGACATAAACTTCCTGATCACCAGAGAAGCAAGCATAC